CACCTCCTGGTGAGATGTGGTCGGCAGCAAGCACACCAACTATGAAATATTCTGCCAAGGGAAAAACGAGTATGATCCTCCTTAAGGAAATATGTGGATCAATAAGTTTATTAAACTTAAAAGGAAATATGTGGATCAATAAGTTTATTAAACTTAAAAGGACTCAATCATTCAAAATCAGAATGTGGGAAATTCTACTAGCCAATTTATCCAATTCCTTTAATAACTAACCATACTGTAAAAAAGGGGCACAACTAATAAAATTATTAATCATAAGACAGACATTTTGAGAAGTTAAAAAAAGAGGATATCAATAAATTATTAATTTTGCTGATGAAATTAATATATTAGTTATGAAAAAACTATTAGTCTGTGATTGGCTTATAAACACTCCAGCACATGAACTTAACGTAGAATACACATTTGATTCTCAATGATGAAACTATGTAATATTAAAACGCAATGTTACTTCAATAAATGAATAAATAAATACACCAAGACAAACATTAACAATGACAGAAAGTAGGAGAAATTAACAGTAGAAAAGTTGTTGAATTGGGTGATAGGTATAGGTATAGGTATAGTACACTGGCTCATTTACTATTCTTTCTCAGTATACCCTCTGAAAACTTTAGTACAAATTTTTTTAAATAAAGAGGGGGAAAAAATCAGAGGAAGACTCCATAAATGAGACTTCCAAATAAGTAATCAAGAGAAGAATCGATGATACCATAACAACAACAAAAAAATCAATATAATAGAGAAACAACAGGTCACAATCATACGAACAAGGATTACTGTACGCATAATATTCCTGGGAGGGATATTAACATGCATGCCCAAAGTCCTGTGATCCTGGGTATCCCAGGAATACCACAGAATCACTGAGAATATATAACATAGAATGCAGTCATGTGAATATTCTAACAGGTGACTGTTATGTAAAGATTATAGTGAGAGAAAAGGTGGGGAGATGAGAAGGTACTATAATACTAAGAGAACCTAGGATACATAAATTTTGGCAAAAGCTTATGCATATGAAATGAACTCATTAAGTCATCTACTCCATGACATAAAGCCAATATAATATACTAAGACAGAGGAATGAGTTACCATTCTGTTTTCTGTGTAGCACCAAGACCAGAGTTGGGAGTACTTAGAACTATTTAAAACCCTTCTTTGATTTAGATGACGGTTCTCCTTCAACAAATAAGTAAACTCATTCCTATGTGCCCAGTTGTTTCAACATATGACCCTTAATAATAAAAGAATGACTATTTTTAGTATTTTGTCATTACCACTTTTGCTGAAGGACCACTTTGTCCCCAGGATATACTTTTAGTAAATGCCTATGGATGCTGTATTTATTTTACAAAACAGCTGACATAGCTGGTATTAAGACATGCATAAAGGAAACTGAAGCTGAGAATCTCCACTGTGACTGACCAATCTCCCACTTCCAGATACCCTAATACTTAAGGCTCCTTCAAAGCTCGATTAAGCTTAACTTAAAAGGAAGATGTTTTAGTTGAAGTTTCAAGGAAATGGAAATTGGAGAATTTTTCAGATCATATCAACTAGGTTCCCAACCACTCTCAACATGTCTCCACAAAATAAAGTTAAGGGCATGAGAGTTTTACCTCCTGCGGATTTACGGCAGTTAAGACAGAAACCTCATATGACTGCCTCCCTGACTGCATGGTCACCAAGTGATGTGTCACATCAGGCACTGAAGACAGGGGACGTGGGGATCCTTCAGCAAGCACCTCTGTAAAACAGCAAAAAAATGCCTCAACAAAAAGTGAATCCACAGATATACCTACCTGCATTATCAAGTCTCTCATTAAGAACTCTAAAAGCAGTTCCCTGAAAACCTGAATCCCACATGCCTTTATCTCTTCCATATTAATTTCTCATAATCATCATAAATGAATTTGAAAATTTTGACAAAGGAGGGGTGGGAAGAAGAGACAAGAAATCTTGGTATGTATCAACTTATATCAACCATTTTTCAATGAAACAATTTAGAGTAACATGACTTTAATGCTGTTAACAGGATTAAAGTTGTATATAGAACAAGGCAAAAGCTACTTAGGCAGGTGAATCAGGGAGACCGGATCCAACTGTTAAAAGTCATCAATAATAAAAATGTCCACAGGTCAAGAACTTTAAATTAAACCTGGCTTCAAAGTTCCTATTCAATGTCCCTCCTTCCCTTGAGGCCTTTCCTTAATGCTGGAAAACTAGCTTCATGCAATTTCTGTGCTCATGCTTCAGTTAGCCACTGGTATGATTCAGTGGGCCTTTGAGGCTCCATATATAAGTTACATAAACAAGGCCACTTATAACTAAAAATGAACGAGTAAAACAAAGCCTTAGTGAATGTTTATATGTGGGGTCACCATGAAACTCTTCTGGATATAGTTTATACATAAGCCACTTGGCTCTCAAATAAATGGGACATTTCTTCTAGGGAATTTCTAGCTCTTCAAGGTTATACCATATAATTTAACATTTGTTTAAATAATATATTTAAAGTTATCCCATATACAAGTTTTAACTTCTCAACTAGATTTTAATGACCCTGTCTTCTACTTAAATCTTTCCCATGGTGCCAGGCACACATTAGGCACTGAATAAATGCATGCTGACCTCACCTGTTAAGTTTTTCACAGAAGAGGGCCTGGCCTGTGTAACTTGGGTGAAATTTCTATATCAGAGAGGAGCAACTGTTTCCTAGAGAGCCCTTTCTTTTCTCCAGAAGATATGGCTTTTGAAGGTATGGAGAAATTGCTTTATATCTCCTCTGTAAAACCTGGTTATGTTCTGTTTAAATGTTTTAAAAGTTAAGTTCTTCCATAACTGCAACAGGAAAGATAGAAATAGTTGGGCTAGGATGCTAGGATTATGGATAATTAAAATTTCTTTTCTTTATTCTTTTGTTACATCTTTTCAATGAAAAAGAAAAAAAAATTGAACAAATTTATTTATTCACGCCAAGACAAAGATATAACTGCTTCTCTAAAGAAATGAATTTAAAACTTCCATTCTGGAGAAAACCCCATTCTTTACTCCCTAGTTACAGTCCATTTTCCCCAAATAAAGGCGAGCTGAAAGTCTTACCATCGTCAACTCCTAGGATAGAATTGGTATTTGGTAGGTTCAAGGACTCTCCACCAAGGCTGGGCTGGGAATTCATAGACACCAGGTTTTTACTGGTTACTGGAGCCTCTTCAAGCAAACTACTGCCCATTAGTGGCTCAGCTGCACAGAGAATAGGATGTGAGAGACATACAGCAGCCAAGGCTGTGCCTAGTCCCCATTTTCCTTCACAGGAAGCTGGTCTTTTTATCCAGCACTACAAAGTTAACCTGCTTTTAGATACCACCTCTTACTTCACTTTTGGGGAGTAAGAATAAACCTAGGAGAGAAGGGTTGAGCCTCACTGATAAAATCCTTGGCTGTGGTTACAGCTGGCTATGAAAAGGAATGGAAGGCTCCTTAGAAAGGAGTATTTATAATGAAATAATTAAAGAAACACATGAAAATTCTTTAAGTTAGGGTAAAAAGGCAGTTATGATTGACAGTGGAAAATGCTTAAGCTTTTATACAGAAATCTCTACCACAGTGATACTCAATGGCTGGTTCATGGATCAGTACTAATTACCATCAAACTCACTCTAGCTTCTACAGATTTTGGGCTCTTAATCCCAAAGATCTCCTTTATCAGGTTGTTCTGTTCTGTTTTAATGACAATATGAATATATATGGTTTATGAATATAAAATCATTGCAGATGGTTTTACTGTATGTTTTGGAAACCACTAATCCATCCAATGAGACCAAGTCTGTCTTCCCAAAACAGAAATCAAAAAATTTCCAGTGAACCAGTGAGGCCAATTATTTGGTGTTTGAAACCTCCACTCCCCCTTTCCTCACCAGTTTGCTCCTGCTCTTGATTCCCAGCTGCACCCATCTGTAAGTGATGCTTTCTCATGTGCACATTTCTACTCCCACTCTGAGAGAAGGTCTTCCCACAGACTTGACACTGATGAGGCTTCTCTCCTAAAATAGGAACCAGGTTAAGACAGGTTAATCAAAAATACATGGCACATTTCTGAAAACAAGAGAATGGACCTCAGTGGGAAAATCCAAAGAATGTTAAGAGGCTGCTCCTTCTCCCATTCCATGCCTTCCCCAGGCTTTCTCAACCTTCAGTACACAGGAAAGGCAGGAAAAATATGGCAGGAAGTCTTAGCTTGCGCACTCTTCCTATCATCCCCCAGTCCTTTCTAAAGCTGTACTGCTGCTGTCAAAAAGCCATCTCTTTGGTATAGGATCACGGGTCAACACAGAATGTTACTTCCTTCTTCAGACAGAATCTTCCGTAGACCTATAGAATGTGTACCATCCTCAAGGATTCCAACGGTGGGTTCATAATACCTCTTTATCCTATTTTCTGCCACCACCGTTACAGCTTTCAATTTGCACACTGATGGTAGTTCTGTACAATGATCTAAACTGTACATTACATGCTCAAGTCCAAAAAATTTGATCCTACATTTCATCTACCCAGATAACCACACTTACAGCAGGGGTCAAAAACTCAGGACAAACACACACACACACACACACACACGCACGCGCACGCAAGCCTATAGGGGGTCGGCGATAACAAAAGTAGGTGAAATGACCAGAAAAGGCAAATCTATAGAGACACAAGTTGACCTGAGGTTGCCTATACCTGCGAATGGAAGCAGGAACTGAGCAAACAGGCACAAAAGAACTTTCTGAGATAATGTCAGTATTCTAAAAGGACTATGGTGACTGTTTAATTCCACCTATTTCCTAAAAATCACTGATTTGTATGTTTTCTTACAATGAATGACTTTTAAGGTTTATCTATTATATACCAAAAGATTACTAAACAGCCTTCCTGGTGGCTTAGGGGTTAAGTCTCAGTGCTACCACCACTATAGCCAGAGTTTTATCCCCAGCCAGGGAGCTAACCCCTGTATGGCGCAGCAGACCTTTCCTATCTCGTTGCTCCCTTTAGCAGTGTATTTCAGTAAATCTGCTTGTTCTGCTCCCCATTCTGGTGAACCCTCTCACCTACTGGCTACACCCCAGTTCTTTTATGCAAAAATAAAATTTTTTTAAAAGGCTATAAAAAACCCCTACAGTGGATTAGAAAACAGTAAACAGAAGGAACCTATGAATTCACACTAACACTGAGACAAAAAACAATGCCTCTTACCTGAAGTAACCAAAACAGTCTCAAAAAAGCTCCCAACTGAGTCAAAAGCAGAATCCATCTCATCCTCTACACTGAGGAACTCATAACCTGCCAGCCCTGGGCAACACTAGCCCAACTCTGCCTAAAACTTACCATATAAATAGCTCTACTGTTAAGATCTTAACTCTTAAATTCACATCCTTGAATGTGAATTCAATTCCCTTGCACACAGTAAACTGCTCTGCTGTCCCATAAACAACTTCCACCTCCTTCTTTGCCCCCTCTCTTTGGTTTCACTTTGCTTCCCATGGCAAGTCTGATTCACTCCAGAATCTCTCTTCACTGAGTTCACAGAGCAAAGTCTGCTCTGAATAACCTTCATGGCCCACATCTCTGAGATAACATAAAATACTCAGCATAGTGCCAAATAAATTTCCTGATCTCCTAGATAAAGTTTTGGATCAAAAAACAGTTGAATACTGCTCATCTAAAATTAATAGCAATTAGATTTTACCCCACTTGATTACATGATGCTCTAAATGCAAATATCAAGGGCCCTGATTTCTGTTCTGTCATGATTAAGGAAGAAACATTATGATAGTTTGTTGCTTTGTAGGTTTCTTTATATCAGCTTTTTACCCTTCCGGCTATCTGTCTTCCCTAAAATCTAAGAATGGCACAGATTCTAGTACCTGAGTGAACCACCAAATGTTTTCGGAGGCTAGAATACTCAGCAAAGGAACGACCACATCCTTGGGCTTCACAAAGGAAAGGCTTCTCTCCTAGAGACAGAAAATAAGACAAAGACTCATCAAGTTAACTATGTGACTTAACATGAAACTATGAATTGATATGAGAATCAAGAATTGACTAGTTCTCTTTCCATATAAACTTATTCTGTTCCTAGTGACATACTCTGATTTCTTAAATCAAGGCACTTCAACTGGGCTATTTACTAAGTATCACCTCTCAATGATCTCTTAGAATACAGTCCACCCAACAGCTTTACCTTTTCTTTAAAGTGGCTGCTTCTGAACATACTTCCACCTCCCTCCTGGCTCAAGGACCTTGTCTCAGCTGCAGTGACACACCTTCTTCAGTGACCCTGTGCCCCTGAGATCAAGATTAATTATTGTATGTGCTATGAGGCTTTTTATCTTACATCAATTTTCTTTAAGGATCTGTCTCTAGATCCATTTAAAAGTAGAGTTTTAAAGATAACAAAATAGGTATTATATGTGCCATTATATAAAGCAAGCAAAAAGATGTTTACTCAGAGATGCATAGAAAAATTTGTTGAAAGTAGTTATATCCTGATAATAATGTTATGATTTACTTTTCTTTGTGCTTTTCTGTTGGTGGAAATGTAAAGTCAGGTGTAGCCCCTGCAAAAAACGGTGTGAAGATTTCTTAAGAAAACAAAAACTGAAATTACATGGGATCTGCCAATACCTTCACTATGTATTTATTCATATAATATGAAACCTCTATGAAAGGAGTCATCTACACCTATGTACACAGCAGCACTGTCCACAAATGCCAACTCATGGAACCAAACTAAGTGCCTTTCAAAGGACAAAAGAAAAAAGAAATATATATACTCGGTGGAATACTATGCAGCTTGAAAAAAGATGAAATAGTGCCATCTGGGACAAATGGATATACCTTGAGGTGATAATGTTAAATAAATAAAGTGACATCATATGGTTTCAATCAACTGTGGAATATAAATGACCAAAAACCATACACATATACAGGCAAAATGCAGTAATAATAAATCTTCAACTCAGTGAAAGAACATAGTGGATGGGGAGGTGAGCAGGGAGGCAGATGGGGTACTCAGTGGAGGGTGGATGGAGCACGGGTACATATGAAAGAGCAAAAAATGTAACCCCAGAAATTAAGGCTAAATTAAAAAAAAATCATTAACAACCATGAAAATAATTTTCCTTTTTTTTTTTTTAAGATTTATTTTATTTGTACATACAGAACTGGGGGTACAGGCCAGAGGCTCAGGGGCGGTGAGAGGCTTCACCAGAGACAGAGTAGGGAACAGAACAGGCAGATTCATGAAGTACACTGCTGAGGGGAGCAGCGGGCGGGGTAGGAGAGGTCTGCCGCGCCATGTGGTCACCTCCGGGGCAGGCAGGAATCGAACTCATGCGGAAGTGGCTTTAGCTTCTCAGTATAGTACTTTAACCTACTGCGCCACCAGGGAGGGCCTAATTTTCCATTTTTAATAATATTTCTTTGTTATTTGAAAAATTTCATATGTGAAAACTGAGTAAAATAAGTAAGCTCACTGACAGTATGCTAATCTTTTGGTTTTAATAGTGTATTAAGGCTATGTAAGATGTAAGTGTTATGGAAAGCTTGGTGAAGCTGTGTACTATTTTTCCAACTTCCCATAAGTACAACTATTTCAAAATAAAATGTGAAAATAATCAGAAATGCAATTTCTATTATCTCCCAAAGGTCACAAACTAGCGTAAGAAAGCTAAGAGCATTCATGAATAACTTTAATATAAATACCTGCACAAAAAGTTAGGATATGAGCATTAAGAAAGTAAATTCTCTGTGTCATTTTTTAAAAAGATGCTGAATTCAAGCTGATCTTAAATGATGACATGGATGGAAGGAAATCTGAAGCACAAGAATAGTGTATGCAGACTCTTCAAACTGAGAGTGCCCAGGGAAGTCCAGAAATCTGGGTGAAATAAGAAATACATATACACTGGTCTTTCCTGACACAGAGCTCCTAAAATCCTTGTCAACAGGGGGTGCTAGGAAAATCTTTTGTTCAAAACTTTAGTCTTTGATCCTCATTCTCGATGCTGGATTCCTAAAATCTGTGTATTTCTTCTGTGAGAAGTACACTGGAACCATCTTTTGTCCTAACATTTGGTGCCGGGTGGCATTTCCCAAGTAATAACATTGTCTTCCATCTTAATGAGATGACTCCTTAAAATGAGATGAACCATCATTCCTGGATGGGAGCTGGACACCAGAAACAGCAACTTCTGATGAGCAGCTTGGAATTTTTAGCTCTTGGAAATGGGGCTAGAGATCAAGAAGACCTATATAATGAAGCTACAATAAAAATCCTAAAAGTACAGGACTCAAGAGTTTCTAGGTTGGTGAACACATCTATATGCCAGGTGAATGGCATAACCCAATTCCATAGGGACAGAAGCTTCTGTGCTTAGCACCCTTCCAGGACTTGCCCTGGCTGTTCGTTCAGTTTTATCCATCATCCATTCTTTTATATAATAAACTAGTAAACATAAGTGGTTCCCTGAGTTCTGTGAGTTGTTCTAGCATATAATCAAACCCAATGTGATAAAATAATGAACTTCTGATTTGCAGTCAAGAGAGAAGCTGTGAGTAACCTGGGGATGGACCTACTACTACTTGCTGCTGGCATGTGAAATGCCAGGTGGTGTTGTGGGGCCAAATTCTGAACCTGTGGGAGCTAATGTTTCTCCAGGTAATGGTGTCTAAATGGAGTTAAACTGTAAAATTCCCAGCTGATGCTACACAGAATTGTTTGGTGTGGGAGAAAAAAACAAATCAAACATCTGGTATGTCAGTGTTGAGTGTGGTAGTAATGAAGAATATGAAGACAAGGAGAAACACAGAAAAAGTGAGGTTATCCTATTCAGCAAGTAAGGTTGCCATGGTGACAACACAGGAGCGAGGCTGTGGAGGAAGCCACGATGCTGCACTCCATTACTCTATTCTTTCAAACTGCCCTATACAGCTTAATGTTTGTGATATTCCAGTGGCCTGTAACTGTCCTGAATGTGTATTTATAAACTCACAGCTATCTCAAAATGCTGAGCACTAAAAAAGTTACCAAATGAACAAATACTTATATATATGACCAGTCAAATGTCAGAAAAACTGAAAATTCTAGTAATAAAAATGGCCAAGCATTTAATAAGAGGAACTAAAGAATCTTAGGAAAAAGAGGATTTAGAAAGGTTTATCAGAATCTAGTAGCATGATTCTCTGCATCAAGCTGGCTTAGAAAACATCCATATTTGGAAAGAGGATGAAGAGACAAAAGGATACAGGAGAAGCAGAGAGGGACAGGTAATGCTTCATAATGGTTAAAAGCAAAGCCCACTTCACCCTGAATTTCAAATCCTGGTGCTCTCACCTGTTAGCTCAGGGAAGATATTTAAATTCTTAGACAATCAATTTTTTATCAACAAAATGAACATTAATATAATCTCAAATATTATTTTGAGAATTAAATTATATAAGTTATTCAGCACTGTCTGCCATAATGTAAGCCCTCACAATGTCACTAAAATTGGTAGCTTTAATTACTACTGTCACTAATAATAAAAGACCTGAAACCACTTTTTTTTAAATTCTAGATTTTGCTTCTCAATCAAACATGAGATAAAAATTGAGCTGTCAGCAGCTTAAGAGAAAATTCTTAGAGAAGAGCCTTGGAATCATATCAGAATTCAAACCCTGCCCTGCCATTTCCTGACTGTATAATTTTGAGTAAGTTACTCAGTCTCTAATTTAGGGAAAATGATTAAATTGAGGCCAGAGATTCCACACTAAGTGACTTGGGAGACATCTGAAATTCTGAAATGGGTGAGCATTAGGAGATTAATAAGAGAGTGTTAGCCAAAGTTAGAATGAAAGAAAATCAGGTTATACTCTGCAGTAAAAGAAAACATTATGATGCTCACTTTATCAAATACTACAAAAATGATGAAAGTGAAGAGGTTCCCGAATTTAACAATAAGGCATGGTGAATGCTACTTATCTATCCAGTTAGATGTTCTTTTATTCAAACAGCTTGCTTGGAGCAAATATAGTCTACTCTCTTAAGAGGGCCCTCCCTGGTGGTGCAACGGGTTAAAGCATAGCACGGTGAAGCTACTGCAGCCACTGCAGCATGAGTTCAATGCCTGGCCAGGGAGGTGACCCATGTGGCGTGGCAGGCTCCTGACCCACCTGCTGCTCCACTCAGCAGTGTATTTCAGTCAATCTGCCTATTCTGATCCCCACTCCGTCTCTGGTGAATCCTCTTACCCCCTCGCCCCCCGCACCTCTGGCTTGTACCCCAGTTCTGTATGCATAAATAAATCTTTAAAAGAGGTGAGAAGAGAGCTATTTTGTCCCAAAATCTAACGATTGGCAAAGTGAATTTGGAAGGAATGGCAAGGTCATGCCTGGAACAAACGTAGTGCTAGCTTAGGTTTCATGTTTTAAATGTCCTTTCATTGCACCTGCTGTCATTTTATCAATGCAAAATGAACACAGGGTGGCAGGAATAAGTAACACATGCTAAGACAGTGGTGGGGTTCAGTGATTAAAATCTAGCAAGAGACTTAGTGCAAGCTGGGAAGTCACCCTTAACTCTTAGATTAAGAGTCAAGGTATCTTTATTTTGCTCCTTGAATATTAACATGCCATCTGACCAAGAACAAGTTATTTTTTTATCCTGTTTCTCATGTTGTTAAGTTATAATAAGAAAGCAAACTCTTCAAAGTCAGGGATTATATCTTAGCTTTTATATTTCCCTCACCTAACTCCATTTACAGAATATGTTCTGTATGGTTTGTGTACCCAATGTAGTTACTTCCCCCAATTATGACTAGGTAACATTCAAAGATAATTGGACTTAGGTTTGTTCATATTTCATCAATGTTACAGAAGGTCTTGTATCCCTTCATCCAGTTTAGGATACTAGAGGCAGAATGACCACTCTCTTTTCCTCACATACAGGTGAAAGCTCAATAAATGCTATTGAGCGAATTAAAAAGTGTCATGAGGCATTTCTAAGAGAGAAATGAGCCTTCAAAGAGTCAACAAGCAAGCAGAGCCCAGCAGAAGAATGCCCCTTGGGAATGTGAGGGCTGTACACACCTGTGTGGATGCGCAGGTGGTTCTTTAGGTTTCCAGCTGTAGTGAACTGCTTGCCACAGCTAGACTCTGGGCACATAAAGGGCTTCTCCCCATTGTGGGTCCTCATATGAACCTTCAGCCTCTGCAACACATAGAAGCTTTTCCCACAACCTTCTGCAGGGCAGATAAAGGAGCGGTCATTTCTGGAAGGGAAAAAAAAAAACCATCAGAAACAGTAAATGAAAATGCTCCTTGTTAAGAGAAGACAAATTAAAACTCCTATTTACTCTCATATCAGACAGTGAATCACAAACCTGGCTATATCACTGTATTCTGTTAAACTATAGAAGCCCAGGCCTTGCCTCTCACAGTATGGATTTTACAGGGTTAGTCTGTGACCCAAGCTTATGACTTACTTTTTTTAAGTTCTCTAAAAAATTATATAATAGGATTTCAGAACTTGTTCTCTAAGACATGTAGGTGTCAAATGTCTTATTAAATACCTGTCAAGAATGAGGTAAATGAAATAAAGTCTTTCTGTTAAAGAACAAAAATTAATCTTAACCACAAATGGCCTGAACCTCTGCTTTCCTTTAATTTGTCAATTGGGGAAAATAAATTCCTCTAGAACATCAACATTCTTGAGCTTGTTCAAGTATGGAATCTCAGAACTCACCGATGAGTTTTGAGGTGGTACTTGAAGTGAGCTGGATATACAAATGTCCTATCACAGCCTTCAACTGTGCATTTGAGCTTCTTCTCCACTTGAGGAAGGG